GGCAGGCAAAGCCTGGCATAGCAAGCAAAGGTTATCCGGCATGGGGGCCTGGGGAAAACCGAGCAGAGCTTTCTCATCCTGTCCCCATCTCTGCAGCATCGCTACATCTATGTGCGTTTGTCCTGGGGGAGTTGGGAGTTTGGACGGACAGACTCTTGGAGTTCTTTATTTTTCTGCCCATCCTCTTCCTCCTCCTCCCATCCTGTCCAAGCATTACCTGTTCTCTTGTACTGGAAATGGAAGAGGAACACAGATTAGAAAGCGGGTGAGAGATGAGAAATGGAGACAGTTGCTGACAACCTCCCATATGGATGGCAGGCTCATTACACGTTCATTTAGCTTCAGCATTTATCCTCTCCCTTAGGAAGCAGCAAAGTTTGCCCTGGAACCTTATTCCAGTTCCCCAGGGCTCTTTTCCCTCTTGTTTCCCTAGATCTGTAGCCCAGCACGGTGGAGTGTCTCCCAGTGGGGGTTAATTCTGTCATGTGAACGCTCATGAGATCACCTGTGAGTGGGAGGTGCTGGTGTTGGTTCAGGTTTTGGCTCCCCTCCCTCGTGGCTCTGCTCCTCTGACGGGTGACGATGGTAAAGATCAGTACGGCTGTCGGGAATTTAGCAACCAGGAGTACCATAATAATGCAGAGGAATGCACTGAAATGGGCCTCAGGAAGGCTGTTATGGGAAACCACATATAGAACAGTTTAGCTTTAACTAGGAAAGGAAGTATTCCACCTTTTATTGGGAATCTTGTATTTTGGTAACATAGAAAGCCAATGACAATCACTGTCTCTGTCTAACGTTCTCCCTGCCCACACATGCTGGGACTCATGGGAGGCTGCAAAGATGACAGTTGTCTTAAACAATAGCTTTAATCTGAAGGCAAGGGCAGCTGATGGAAACGAATCATTCCTATGGAGTGGAAAGAACAGACAGCTCACTAAGGGCCTGCTCCAGCTCCTAGTCCAGCCAGTGGGTGTCTTTCCACTGCCTTGAGGGGGTTAGATAGGGTTACCATCCGTCCGAGTGGGGAGCAGGGGGCACAGAGGCTGTGGGGGGGTGCAGAGGCTGCAGTGCGAGTGGGGAGCAGGGGGCACAGAGGCTGCGGGGGCAGGGGGGTGCAGAGGCTGCAGGGCGAGTGGGGAGCAGGAGGCACAGAGGCTGCAGGGGGGAATGTGGAGACT